AGCTGTGTAGCAAGTTTGAGCTGATTCCGACTTCAATTTTTCAAGTTACGGCCATTTTTTAAAAATGCCAAAATTCTGAAAAATACCCTGTACTATAGCCCATGGTTTTTTCCGAAAAATGGCTGCAAAATCACCCCAAATTTTTATTACATTTTCTGATACATATTGAGGTCCTTATGCTGTGTAGAAAGTTTGAGGTGATTCCGACTTCATTTTTTCGAGTTACGGCCATTTTAACAAAATGCCAAAAATCTGTAAAGTACCCAAGGCTATAGTCCATGGTTTTTTCCAAAAAATGGCTCCGAAATCACCCCAAATTTTTATTACATTTTCTGATACATATTGAGGTCCTTATGTTGTATGGAAAGTTTGAGGTGATTCCGACTTCATTTTATTGAGTTACGGCCATTTTAAGAAAATGCCAAAATTCTGAAAAGTACCCAAGGCTATAGTCTATGGTTTTTTCAATATTATAATTTAATAATTACTAATATAACACACACACACACGTTAAGAGGTCCTTCACTTACTTTTCCGGGATTGAGTCGTCTCTTATCAAGACTCCACCTCCAAGGAGCACGAGAGCTATGAAGTAGTAGACAAAAATTAACATAAAAAATAAATTAAAAATAATGAATTAAATCAGGTACCTGTCAACTGCTTTTTCAGTCATTTTTCTCTACAAAAAAAACATGAGAAAATAATAATAAAATAAAACAATATAAGAGTATCTAGAGTACCCTTTTATTGCTTGAGTACTGTCTGGGCTCCTTCTCAGATCTGACCTACGGGTACGTTAAAAGAATTAAGATAATACGTGTACCGGTTAGTATTATAATAATAAGAGGCTTTTGATAAGGACTGGTATTACATAATGATTACCTTTTTAGTAGACATTGGGGGACCTTTAGAATCACTCACCCTGTCGTTCTTAGGCAACTGGCATAATGAATTAAAATATATTTATTTTATTTTATTTTATTTTATTTACTTGAACTGAAGGGAACTCCCACTTCCCATTTTGATAGCCTTGTTGAGCCTAAAATAAAATACAAATACAAATTAAATAAAGTAATAAAAATAAATAAAATAAAAAGA